ACAATAATAAATATGCACCAAGTGAAAGACCTGTGGAATATATAAAACAAACATTAATAAAACTGAGAAAGGAAATAGACAACACTACTATAGTAGTTGGAGACTTCAACACACCTCTCTCAAGAAAAAAACTACCAGAAAAAAAGAACCTTAAAAGATGTTTAATAACTACACACTACACCAGCTCTACCTCATAGATATTTATAGGCTAATGCACCCCCAAAACCCCCACAGTATACCTTCTCCAATGTGCATGGAACATTCTCCAGAATAAATCACACTTTAGGTCACAGGGCAAGCATCAATAAATTAAACATGGAAATAATACAAAGCATTTTCTCAGGTCACAATGCTACAAAATTAGAAATTAATAACAAGAGGATAAAGGAGAAAAACACCATACATTTGGGAGCTGAAAAACACCTTTGCCATTTTATAGTATTTTCACTATAGTATTATTACTACTGTAATTTCTTGATTTTAATTATATAATCTTCATCACTAGCCTACTTTGAGGACAGGCTATTGTCTAAGTATGTGGATATTAGTTCTCAGAAAGGTGCCTAGAAGAGGCAATAGATTGGCACATCAAACAATTTGACGTGATAAAATACGGAAGAACAGGAAACTCATGAAGTTGTTGTTACAGGCTGTCAGGTTGACTGCTCATAGTGACTCTATGAACAACTGACCAGAATTTTGCCCTGTCCAGTGCATCCTCAGGATCGAGCCTGTTGTTACAGTCAGTGTCAACTCATCTTTCTGAGAGTCTTTATTTAGTTGACCCTCTATCTACCTACATGATATTTGAATCCACCAGTTGCAGCATCTTCCTGTGTGATTTAGTCTCTGAAAACCCTCTGGAGGGTCAGCTGTGGGTCACTTCTAACTTGATGGCAATAATAACTACCTACATGAGATCTTTTCTAAAGACTGGCTCCTCCTGAAAACATGCATAAATTAAGTGAAATGAAGTTTCACCCTCTTTGCCTGTAAGGAATACTCCAGTTGCTCTTTCTCCAGGACAGATTTGTTTGTTCTTCTGGTAGCCCTCGAATATCTAATACTTGCTGTCAACAGTTCAAAGGCATTTATTATCCTTCAGTTTCCCTTATTTATTGCCCAACTTTTGGATGCAGAGGAAGCAACTGAACACACTAAGGCTTAGATCAGGCACATCTTAAGTCTTTAAACTGATATTCATCATTTTTTTAAACAAAACAAAA